TCCCTGAGTTCGCGAACCCACTCCTTCCCACGTCCACACAATGACACCGATCCCTCAGAATCGGGTCATACGACCAACGTGACTTGACTGAAAATCCCAGTGCAATATACACAGAAAGTGATCGATTCCTCGTATTATAATGTTACCTTCCCAACCCCTAGGTTTTATCCCCTCATACAAAGTGTAACGGCATGATTACGAGTTATTGAAAACTACTATTCGCCTGAAAGTGTGTTCTAACACTGTTTTTACTTTACTTTTTATTTATTGATTGCTGTCCGCATGCGTATAAATGCGATTAACTGGTTCCGAATGCATTTTACGAATCAGTATATTGTAGCTGATTAAAGCAGAAAGGACAGTGACATAAAATGCGCGTTTGAATAGAGAGAATAGACGGGACGTAAAATCATGAGCAAATGAGATTGCGCTATTGGGTATCAACTGAAAGTTCACCGTACTTACACCACACGATTCGCAATGAACAATGGGGATCGGGGTACCCCAGTATCGTTGACGACTAACCAACCAGTCCGTTCGTGACTCGCTTGACCAAAATCCACCGCGACCTGCTTTCTGAACGAGGCAAGGAAGGGAAGATGTAGGCACAGAGATCAGATCAGACCACGTAAGCAGATGTGAATGCGAAACAGAAAAAGTCACACGTAAAGGATAGATTTCGGAGAGAGTCGGAATTCCTTCAGACTAAAAGCATGCTTTACTCTCGGTCATGCACCACTCGTTTCCAAATGTACCGCTATCATCGGGAAAGTTATCCTCAGTGAACTGTAACCAATTGTTTACGTTGAATAGATAGTTGTAAAATCAATTTTCGGGAGGGACCACGTTGACAAAATATTGAAAATCAGTTTTCGTAGCTCGGGTGAACTGAATTCCATTTCGCCTGTTCGCCGAGCTTGGCAATTTGTTTGCAAACGTATCATCACCANATCATCAGTGCTTGTGAAGTGGCCACTTCACAAGCACTGATGATATCACCTCGGCTGGTGATGATACGTTTGCAAACAAATTGCCAAGGGACCACGTGTTCAACCAACAACTGTTGAACGACATCAAGGAGAGCGATGATGGTGGTCGGAATGGGACACACGACTTCTAAATCGGCTATATGCTGACCTAGAGCACCGACACACACCTCCAAAGATGTCAGTTCCGCTTGTTCGAATTGTTGTTTCGCAGACTGAAGTTTTTATCTTGAGATTGTGAAAAGTTCATTAGCCTCGGTGTGGTTCGAACCCGCGCATCGACATCGCCTACGCTTTTGTATAGCGATGAATTTCAAGGAAAACTTGTCGGGGCAGTCAGCTTACATGCTAATTGGTGGATGCCATATGCCTCTGTAAGTTGGATGGGTAATTCGAATGTAAAACGTCCCGCTTGTGTTGAGGAGGGTTTGTCAATGAAATGTCCAGTCAATTGAGGTGAGAGCATGCCCTGATATTATTTTTGAGATCCAGTATAGTTAACTCGACCTCGACTTAATGAAGACAGTCCATCCTCCCGGATTACTTCCAGTTTTCTAGGCCTACCGTAAATATGACTTCCGCGAAGCAAGTGACCACGCATCAACCGGAAATGACTTTATAATCCAGCCTGAACCACTGGACAATCCAAGATATAAAGGGGGTCCTGGAAACTCACGGATCCGCAGCTACTTCTTATTCTTCTCCCTTGAACTGGACTGTACATTGGTATGTTGAATGAACCAAAGTGTATGGGTTTCAGAAACTCCTACCTTCTCATCTTTTGCTCGCGGTTCTCCATTTGGTTTAAAAGTGGTACGATAAAATGGCCATGGATACCGTTGTATCAAAAATCCTCTATAAATGAGAGTAGTGCGTTGACGATACAGGCATTAGGCCGTTAGGGTCTTCGTTGAAAGGCAGACAGCAACCTATAATTCAAATGATACACTGAAAGGGTGAGCCAGTGATTTGGTATCGATCTGGTACCAATAACGCTTTACATTTCAAGTATACAGGTTGACATTAGGAGGGGACAGAACAACAGTGCCATTGTTCGGCCTACCGTGGTGCGCAAACATTGTATTCCGAGAGGTAGAAATGAATTCAAACGAATAGCATGATCACCAAGAGACATACCCTCAATAACTCCATCGATTTACCCAGTGCGTCGGGAACGTGCAAACCATTAAGCTGTTGGAGGAATACAAATGCATGAATAAGGGTAATGTTGATTGCTGCTAACCGGTACAGTTACAAACCGGAAAAACAACAACAAAAGCAAATAAACGGGGAGCGACATAAGTCACTCGAGTGCCAATATATTTGTCAACAGAACTCTCATATATAATTTTTTTTTACAATAGTCTCAGTTCCATATCCCCAATAAAATTCGTCCGAAAAAAGAGACAAAACAGAAAGAACACAACGAGCAATGTACAGTGAGGGAGACAAATCCATATGCGATAAAAAGGAAAAATAAAAGCTTCACCATTCACCTCAAGGCCCCCCCCCCTTACTCCTCACTATGGCATTTTCCGTCTGAAAAAATGCGTCCAATTACTGAGTGCATCAAACAGAAAAATCTATTGGACACAGTTATTCACATAAAAGGGTGAAAAAGTTCTAACCGCTTTAAAAACCCCAGATACGGTGAAGGCGAAACAATGGCATGTTCATCATATTTCTTCGGTGAACAGAGAAGTTCCAAAAACTAAATAATCACCACGGAGTAGAGATTGAATTACGCAATACCATTATCTGTAATGAAAGCAGAAATAATCCTAGTGTTATACTTAGTTTCTTGTTAGTTTATATGCAGCGAGTGTACGAACACGTTGTCCTTCCTGGGCGTCTGGTTTGGCGCACGAAATGGATTGAGACGTTCTCCGTCTACTGGTTCAGTTGAAGCCAAACAAGCCACAAGCATAACCGCACAATTCAGAGAGAAATCGACTACGTTGTTCCCAGTCAACCATGTCCTGATGAATACGAGAACAGAAGACAGCAGAACACGGAGAAAAGTATTCGGGACGTTGTTCACCACAATGAGTGCAGACCGAAGAGCACGTGGATTGGAAGGGGGTGGGTGGCAGTTCAACAGTAAAATCATTGAAATGAGAGAAAATGCACAAATCGAATCGGATTTTGTTTCAATTTCTCTAGCCATCTAACTCGGTTAGAAATTGAACAATATTTTTTTCTCGAAAAAAGTAACAACGATGCAACTTATGGAAAACGATTTGCGGTTTGCTCTCCTGTTTCGATAGATATTCTTGTCAGGTTTATTTCAGTTTAAGATGGAATGAAAGCAGCTTACTTCAGTAACAGGTGTCGAAAGTGCCGTATTTAGTGCGGAATCGAGGCCAGTGGTCAATGGTAATGAAACTAAAGTTCCTGGTGGTTTCGGTAGGTCAAGAAGATCCACGAGTTCCTGAGCTTCCTTGTCTAATGAGGTGCCTGCAAAAACACGTGAAAAATGTGATAATCAATCGAGTTTTGTTCGATCACCCAGGATCAAAGTCGTATCTTTATTTTCTTTTCATTTTTTCTATTGTACTTCCTTTCGTTGAATATACAAGGATAAAATTTTCAGGAAGGGGGAAGCGACCAATTAAGGGATTCAAAGGATCCAACACACAGTGGAGAAAGTCAGGCGGTGGTATTGGGATTCAAACACATATCCCAGGAGTGATAATTTGATGACGTTACCACCGGGCCACTAACGCCAGTGAAGCCAACTTCACTGATCGCTGCCACGCTCACTAGACAAGGAAAGTAAGAATGTATGAAGTAGATACGCCATAGGTCTATTTTGAAATAGGGACAAAGAAAGTGAATCACTATGGTCAAAAAACAGAATACATAATGTAGTAAGTGCACATCCGAACCTTTTTGGGCATTGTACTCCAGCGAGAACTGGCGGTAAAAACCCCACGGCTATCGATTGCTGGCCATATCCTTCACTAAAAGCAACAAACCGGTAGGTTGTAGGGCACCCGCGAATAAACCGGTAGGGAGTTATGGGTTTTTCCAAGAAACTTCGTGAAGTGTGTTCTACCAGCAAAGTATTCTTGGAGTAGAGAGAGAGAGTGAGTAGCATGGGATAATCAAGCACCTTGGAGTAGAGAAAAAAAATCTCCTCGTGTCAACACAGTTAAGAGCACTACTATCGTCGAGGAAACACACGAAATGCTGTGCCGTGCATGTCTAAGGATCGCAAAACT